TTCTTCTCCTGCGAAGAATTAGACTATTTTAGGCGATATGAGCTGTCGCACCACGTGTCCCCTCCTCTGGTGGATGAGACCCCAACGCAGTTAACAAATGATGGTAGATCGTTCTGGATTGCGTCAGAGAAGAACCGATAGTTGCATCTCAGTCCCGTTACTTGAGAATCAATGGTGACGGTGGGTTCTGGCTGCAAACTAAAATAACCTAATCTGGTACGGGTATTGTTCGCTCAATGCGATACTTCCGTGGAAGGGTTTTATCCAATAAGGGGAGAGCGGTGCTGCAACTTGCTTCCGCACACAGAAGTTCCGTTTTTGCAGAGGGAAAGCAATAGGAGAGCTTCCTTCTCCTGCGAAGAATTAGATTATTTTAGGCGATGTGAGCTGTCGCACCACGTGTCCCGCTCCTCTGGTGGATGGGACCCCAACGCAGTTAACAAATGATGGTAGATCGTTCTGGATTGCGTCAGAGGAAGAACCGATAGTTCGTCTCGGCCCCGCTATTAAGGATTAGGAGTGGCGGCGAGTTCTGGCAGCAAGCTAAAATGACCTGGGCTGATGTCAGGCTCGAGCGGCTCGCAGCCGACCGCGGACGCTCCGATTCGCAAAGTCTGAATCGGCCTAAACCGGCATAGGCATTATTTTCTCAATGTGATACTCCAATGGAGGAGTCTTACAATAAGAGCGAGAGCGTATGGTGTGTTTGTTGCTGCCGTACACAGATAATTCAAATTTGCAGAGGAGGGAAAACTGGGAGCTTCTTTTTCCTGCGAAGAATTGGGCCATTCTAGGCGATATAAACTATCGCACCACACCCCTTCCTTTAGTGGAGAGATCCAACGGAGCTTAGAAAGTGATGGTAGATCAATGAGACACTATGATTTTCTCTGTGTTGAGTCATAGGCATCTAAGACAGCGACGTATTCGTTATCGAGCTCTGGCCTAAAAAGATTTAAATTCCAATTTACCGGATGATTTTCAACTTATTCTAGGTAATTACTCATCGGAATTTGTTTACTGTTTCTGGTTCCGTTTTATAAGGGAATTTTTTCACTCTTTCATTTAAAAACGAAATGATCAAAAAGGCTTTTCATGCGCGACGCTGCAGTTGGCAGATCTCTCTGACAAGGTGGCATCAAAACAAGTGGCGTTTTCTGCCGCTTGTGTCAGCCTACTTTGACGAGGTTTTTCTGCGTGATTTGAACTCATATTGAATTTTGTTGACAGTGCGAATGCATTACCCATCAGGCCATGTAATATCATTAGAACAGGGTCATCCTTTCATTGTGAAATCAGTGAGGAGGATCGAAGTTAGTCTGGATTCTGGAGGGGGATGCAGATCAAGCGTCGCTTACGGAGCATATTTCCGAAAAATTAGAAGATCAAGTATGAAAGTGTAGTTTTACTAGAGTGTGAACATCACTGCGTTTCATAAATATAGGTCCACTCTGAATTTTTGCTAATCCAAACTAGCTGTCCATTTTTGGGAAATGCTGCTACCACCATTAGATTCCCCATATTGAAAAACCTTGACAATGTTTTCTGGCTAAATTCCCCCTACAAATAACCCAAATAACTTTTTCGAAACGAATTTTCACCGTTTCGTGAATATAGGGCCACTCACAAAAAGCTCCCTTTTCTCATCATCCATGAAGGGAAATAGGGAAGCGGGATATTTACGAGCTTCGTCGACATCGAGTTAACCAAACCTAGAACTACTTGCCTCTCATCCCATTACGAGCTCAAAGGCAGAGCACTTACTGAAGCCGGATAGCTGAGAAGCAGAATTGCCTCCCATATCGGCCTGTTCACACTGCATAAGCAACTGTGGGCAAAATCCTGGTCAGTGCGGGAAGAAAGAGTAGTCCCCCTTGATAAAGACTGCTTTTCGCTCAAGATTCGAGAGGAATTCTTCGTCTTCTGTCGAATTATACAAGGAGTCTGAACAAATTCTAAGCCGAAATGGGGCCTTCCGTGAGCAAAATCATCGTGTGATGGGCAAGCCAGCAGAGCAAGAACATCTTCAGAGGATTGACGAAACGTGCTCTAAGATTATCCGAGCGCTACAAGATCGCACGTCCCCATTCCTCCCTGGAAAACGCCTCAACTAATTGAACGAAGGCATGGCTGTTAAGACCCTTCGCGATCTTAGACTGTACCTCCTTGTTTCGTGTTCCAGGTGATCTGGGAGCGACGTGAAAAAGTTAAACCTAGGTGGATCTGATAGAAAAAAGGTGGAGGATTCCCGAAAAGTCGCCGATAGTTTTCAAGCAACGTAATTCTCGGAGAAAAAGTAACTCTATGCGTACATTGCATCTTTGAACGACTGAGCGGCTAGAGCTCACTTTTGTTTCTCTCAAGTGATTCCATAGGGTATCGTGAAATTGTTTTGAGGCGACTTTTATCACTTTTTCGACAACAACCCCCTCATCCGTGATTTTTATGCATGATAACGCGGCTATTCATGCCGTCCTTCCACAGAAGGAA